TTTAAAAAAAACAAGAATATAAATAAAGAGATAGACTCTATACAAAGAAAGCAAACAGAATTACTGGAGTGAAAAAATACCCTGAAATAAAAAATTAACTAGAGAAGATCAATAGCACATTCTGAGCTGGCACAAGAAAGAATCAGTGATCTAGAAGACAGGAAAATTGAAATTATCAAGTTGGAGGAGCAAACACAAAAAAAGTGAAAAGTGAAAAGAGCCTAAAGGATTTATGGATACCATCAAGTGAACCAAGATACACATCATGGGAATCCCAGAGGGAAAAGAGAGAAAGAATATTTGAATAAATAATGACAGAAAACTTTCCAGCTTTGATGAAGGATGTACATATATAAATTCAAAAAGCTCAATCAACTTTAAGTAGGATAAACCCAAAGAGACTCACAGTGAGACATATTATAATCAAACTCTCAAAAACCAAAGATAAAGAGAGAATCCTGAAAGCAGCAAGAGAAAAGCAGATTGTCACATACAAGGTATGCTCAATAAGATTAAACAATAATTTCTTCTCAGAAAGCATGGAGGCCAGAAAGGAGTGGAATGATATTTTATTCAAAGCACTGAAAGAAAAATACTAACAAACAAGAATTCTATATCTGGCAAAGCTGTTCTTCAAAAATTAGAGCAAAATTAATTAAGACATTTCATGTTAAACAAAAGCTGAGGGAGTTAGTTACTACTAAACATGCCCTACATGAAATGCTAAAAAAGTCGTTTAGATTGAAATGAAAGGATGCTGGACAGTAACTTGAAACTGTATGAAGAAAAAAAGATCCAGTAAAGTTAACTTCATGGGCAAATACAAGGGCCAGTTTTAAGGTATGGGAAAAGAAAAAATTCCATGCAAATAGTAAGTAAAAGAGAGTTGGGGTGGCTATATTAATATCAGACAAAATAGACTTTAAGTCAAAATCTTTACAAGAGACAAAAAAAGCATTATATAATGATAAAAGGATCAATACATTAAAAAGAAACAACTATAAATATGTAATTATAAAAATATATAACAATTATAAATATAAAACATATGAAGAAACCATTGACCGAACTGAAGGGACATATAGACAGTTCTATAATAATAGTTGAAGACTTCAATATGTAGCTTTCAATAATGGATAGAACTTCTAGACAGAAGATTAATAAAGAAATAGAAGATCTGAACAACATTACTGTTGAATAGAAAAATTAATAACAGACATCTTACTTTGATTTTAAGGTCTTTCTTATCCATGAAACCAAATATTAACCATAAAAAGCTTGACCCAAACTGCAAAAGCCTGCCAGAAACTGTTCTATAGCAGTGTAAAGTTGTCTTATCTTGCTAGAAAAGGATAGTCAACAAACCATTACCTCCTAATTTAAAACTCAAAACTCTTGGCTGCAGGTGGGTGGAGGGCCAAATTATTAGTAGCCATGCCAGAAGTAAACTGATCTCAGTTAAAGGGGAAGGCAGGTTCAATTAATCATGTTAAGATTAGCCAATGGTTGAGCTTCTTGGAAACCCCATGGGGTAGTTCTACTCTTTCCTATAGGGTCGCTATGAGTTGGAATCAACTCGATGGCAATGGGTTTGGTTCTGGTTTTCTTCTCTTTATAAGCCCCATTGTACCTAGCTTCTTCGAGCCATTTGCTTTTTCTGAAATCAAAATGGCCTCCCTATATGCATACAAAATAACTGCTCAGAATAAATCTTATGTCCAAATTTCAGTGAGTTCTGATTATTTTTCAACACTACCAACCAACTGGGGCACTGGTGGTTCAGTGGCAGAATTCTCATCTTCCATGCAGGAGACCTGGGTTTGATTTACGGCCAATGTACCTCATGTGCTGTGACCACCTGTCTGTCAGTGGAGGCTTCAGTGTTGCTATGGTGCTGAACAGGTTTTAGCAGGACTTCCAGACTAAGATGGACTAGGAAGAAAGGCCTGACAATCTACTTCCAAAAGTCAGTCAATGAAAACCCTATAGATCAACAGTGCAATCCACCATCAATCATGGGTATGGCACAGGACTCAAACACTGTGCATGGGGTCACCATGAGTCAGAGGTTGACTTAATGGCAGCTAACAACAATGACATAAACCAACAAGACCTAACAGACAAATATTGAACGCTCCACCCAACAACAGCACAACACACATTCTTCTTCAGCTGATCGTTCTCAAGCATTGACCATATGCTAGATCACAAAACAAGTCTCAATATATTTAAAAAGATTTAAATCATACAAAGTACCTTCACTTACCACAATGGAATGAAACTAAAAAGAAAGAAAACTGGAAATTATACAAGTATGTGGATGCTCACTTTCAGCACTGCTATTCAGTAATGTACTGGAAGTTCTAACCAGAGCAATTAGGCAAAAAAATAAATAAAAGTATCCAAATTTGGAAGAAATAAGTAGAACTACCCCTTTTTTAGATGACATGATGCTATATATAAAACCCGAAAACCAAACCCATTGCCGTTGAGTTGATTCCGATCCATAGCAACTTATAAGACGAGTAGAACTGCCCCATAGGGTTTCCAAGGAGCAGCTGGTGGATTCAAACTGCCAACTTTTTGATTAGCAGCCAAGCTCTTAACCACTGCGCCACCAGGGCTCCAGAAGACCCCAAAGAATCCATAAGAAAGTGACTAGAGCTAATAAATGAATTCAGCAAAGTGGCAGAATACAAGGTCAACACACAAAAATCAGTTAGGTTTTTATACATCAGTAATGAGCAATATAAAAAGGAAATTAAGGTTTGGTTAGCAGCCAAATGCTTAAACCACTGCACCACAAAAAGATATAAATAAATGGAAAGACATTCTATGATAATGGACTAGAGGACTTAATATCGTTTAGATGTTAATACTACTCAAAGCGATCTATAGAGTCAACGTAATCCCTATCAAAAAAAGCCAATGCTCAAATTTATATGGAATTGTAAAAAAGCTTTTGGTTACATATTGTTCTTGGCAGCTTTTGCACTACAATGGCACATATTACAATGGCAGAGGTGACTAGTTGCATCAGAAACCGTATCTCACTATCTGGTCCTTTACAGAAAAAGTTTGCTAACCCTTAAAATAGAATAAAAACATTAAGACTGTAGATTTACTAAAATCTAAAAAAGAACTAGACTCATCTACATCACTAATTAAAAAAATGAAAATGAAAACCATATAGTTTTCCATACCCATCAGATTGATAAAGGATAAGGGGAAATGGGAACTGTCATACACTGATGGGAGAATAAACTGGTACAACCCCTTTGTGGAGCATTTTAACATTATCTAGCAAGAATGAGGCTATGTATATTCTACGACCTAGTAGTTCTACTTCTAGGTATACATCCCTGGAGACTCTCACACGAGAAGATACAACAAAGGAGCCTTGGTGGCACAGTGGTTAAACACTCGGCTGCTAACCAAAAAGTCCGTGGTTCAAACCCACCAGCCGCTCTGTGGGAGAAACATGTGGCAGTCTGCTTCCATAAAGATTTACAGCCTTGGAAACCCTAAAGGGCAGTTCTACTTTGTCCTATAGGATCGCTATGAGTCAAAGTCGACTCAAAGGCAGTGGGTTTTGGGATAGTACAACAGTGCCTGTAGGAGTTAATGTATGTAAAGCACTTATGACAGTGCCTTACATATGTTAAGTGCTCAACAAATGTTAGCTATTGTTATTAATTGCAAAAATTGGAAAAACCTACTGAAGAATAGGTGAATAAATTATGGTTTAGTCAGAATAAATAATGATTTAGTACAAAAACAAAAATAAATTAATTTGTACTATATGCATCATAATAGACAGATCTCAGAAGGATAATATTTGGATGATAAAAGAATATTTTGAAAATATACATAACAATAATATATACTTTTGGATATATAAATATGTAGTAAAACATAAAAATATAGATAGGAATGTTACATAACAACTGCTGACCATTGATTACCTCTGGAGAGGGAAGAAGGAGAATGGAGAGAGATAAAAAAGAAACTTCAAATATTTCTTTAAGATTTTGTTTCCTAAGAAAAGGTGTGACACAAATATGACATAATGACTAACATTCAGCAATGCAGGACGTATACATAAGTGTTGATTATAATGCTTTCTTCTTCTGATTGTTTGAAATATTTCATAATTTTTAAAAATGAATTAGAATTAAGACTAATATCTCATACTGACATAGCACTGCCTAGGTGCTAGGCACTATTCTAAGTGCTTTACTTATACTATCTTTTTTAATCCTCACAACTATCCTGTGAGATAGGTACTATTATAATCCCCATTTTACATATAGGAAAAATGAGGGCCAGAAAGGTTAAGTGACTTTCCCAGGATTACACAGAACTATCTCTGTGCTATGCATACTGTCTCTCTATAGTTTCATCTAGAAAACTAGAACGTAACAGCCTGCAAACATCGTTCAACAAAATGAATAACGCCAAAGCCAACAATCTGTTTCCAAAAGAAGCATCATGTTTTATTTTCTTTTCACCCAGAATGAGAAATCAACTAAACTCAGGTAAAGTAATCTATATATGTTTTTAGAATTCAAAAAATTACTATCATATATGTTGTTTCACATACTGGCTGTTCTATAACAGCCATAATACCTTTAGTCACTGAAATTGGTTTAAACTATGTAAGTATGTATATATATTTAAGGTTACAAATGATATTAAACAAGATGGCTCTGTTAATAATGCAGACCATGCTATACACTCTGTCTCCCTGTAATAGTATAGATAAAGATAATTACAGTATAAAATAGATTAGCTCTTGATTATTTACCTATCTCCTAAGGAGAAGTTTGTACTTTGATAAAAAGAAAATTGTTGTAGACATTTTACTAACATGTAAGTGGAAGTATACTGAGACATGGTTTTAGCAGAAGTTCATGACTAGAAATGCAATGCATGCTGCAGAACTTCCATACATGCTCCTCCTTCTTCCATATAAGCTATACAAACTTTAAACAACTCACTTTGCATTCTTTTCAGCATCTAAAAGAGCTTGTGCCAAATCCTTATGGGCCTTCTCTGCTTCCTTTGTTAATTTTATATCATGTTTCCGAACCAGATACAGCTCCCTGAAATAAAAGAAATTTTATACTCATACCTGGAGACTTCCAAAACTTTTCTACCCAGGAAGTCAGGTTTATAGTCAGGCATTTTTCAGTTATCATATGTAACCCTCCTCTTGGTTTTTCCAACTTATAAACCAAATAAAAAACTCTACTGTACATTCCGGATGAAATCTTACCAGGGTTTGGCAATAGAATCTTGCTGTCTAGAAGAGGCAGACAGATGTGGGGGATCTTCTAGGACGAGCACTGGATCCACTAGGCAAGTGCTGATAGTCATGGCTTCCAGGATGCTCTGCTCCAACGTCTGACATGTCTACCCTGTTCTCTTCATTCTTGCCAGTAATCTCTTGCCACAAGTTAGATTATCACTAACCTTGTTTGCTAAATATTGCTTATTCTCTTTGGTATTTGAACATTAACATCCATAATCATGGCCCTGCTTTATAACCTAAATAAGATAAACATCTCTATCTTGGAAGGAAGAGCAGGAGTTTTTTCCCTACCGGTTTTGTGCTAACCAATGTAACCCATTTCCCTACATCTATTATCTAATCTATATCCAGTTCTTTCTGTTCTCCTGCTAAACATGAAAGGAAGGCAAAAGAGTCCTCAGCTTTAACCAATCCACTTCCCTATGTACTTTAGAGATATGGCTCTGACTTTTGTTTTTGTGTTTAATATACTCACAGGTTTTACCTGGTCAGTTTCTCAATAACATTCTTGAAATTGTACAATTCTTCTAAAATGCGCTGGTCCATTATTCGCTGAGTCACCAGATCTTTGTAGAAGTCAATCATCTGCCGGGCAATTTGGTCAAGCATTTGCACATATCTCTCTCTACATGAAAAAGAAGGAACATGAACATCATACTGAAGGAAAGGAGAAAGGGGTCAGAAAATATGTGAGAGAGAAAATAATTTTAAGGAAATAGGCACAAAAGATATGTGGACAGAATAAAACAGAAAAAGAAAGGGATTTAGGCTGTGTATTCCTGCCATGCTCATACAAGTGAATGAACAATTATGGAGAATTGTGACCAGAGCCATAAATATTTGCAATACTACATCTGAGATGTGAGACAAAAATAATGACTTATGTCTTCTTCTAGATTATAAAGTCTATAAGGATAGAAACCATGTCATGTATTTGTATCTTTACATCATCTAAAAGAGTGCCTTGAACATAGGGAGATTTTGATAAATAGTTGAATTCATGAGTAAAACCACTTTTCTCAAATTAATCAAAATGTAAATAGACATCAACTGTTATCAAATAAAGAAATACCATAAAATATGAAGAAGTCATTTCTTTTGCTTCTGAATAAAGCCAAACAAAATATTTGCGAATGATCACAGATGATAAATTACAGAGACCATACTAAGCAGCCTTCATTTATATTAAAAAGTGATCTAGGTGTTATACCCTAAGCCTGAGGTTCTAAATTGTAATATCTTTGATTTGGAATGGTCATTCCATCTAATCTTTCACCCACTGACAGACAGGTGGTCACTAACAAAAAAGATTATCCAGTCCTTGCTTAAACATTTAAAGTGACTGGGACACTATCAGCTCAATATGAAGCTTAGACATTGGAAAATACTAATTTTAAAGAATACTTCCTTTAGGACTTTCCTTCCTGGCAATATAGGGGACCAGATACTCTGAAGGGTCCTCCCATTACCACACAATTAGATTCACAATACAGCATACTTTTCAAAGCATTACTGGGCTTAAAGAAACAAACAGAGAAACCCTGTGGGGCAATTCTACTCTGTCCTATAGGGTTGCTATGAGTTAGAATCAACTCAATGGCAATGGGTTTGGTTTTTTTGGTAAGGATAAAAAAAAAACAAAAAATGAAGAAACAAAATACAGTGAACTAAAAATGAGGCTGTCTCACAGATCACTGTGAGAGTGAAGAGCAGAGTGGGAGGTGTTGAGCAGTATGCAATAAGCAGACCCAAGGTTAGAGTTACCCCCAGGAAAAATACCATCACTGGGACCCAGAGACTAAGCCTTAGGCCCACTTCAAAGTGGACAACCTGAGCATAGGACTACTGCATAAACCATAATTACAGAAGAGAGCAAATATAAATCCTCTCTTGAGGAATGTATCTCTGATTTAAGCCCTGAGGATTCCACGATTAAGATTGCCCAAATATTTGCTCACAAGCAAAGACTGCAAAATACTCATGTAAATAAACCATGATGAATGAGAATCAGAAGAAACAACAAAATGTATATTTAGATACCAAAGGTCTTCATATATCAGAATTATCAGATTAGAATATAAAATGACTACGTATGAAATGTTTGAGAAATAAAAGATGGAATCTAAAAGTGAATAAGCAACAAAAAATCATCAAATATGATAAGATATATATGGAAACAAACCAACAGAACTTTTAGAGAAAAATATAATTGAATAGTAAAACTCAATATATGGGTTACAGCAGAATAGACACAGCCAAAGAGGTTATTAATGTCCTGGAAAAATTTCCTAGAATGCAGCATAGAAACAATGAGACAGAAATTATGAAAAAGAGATTAAGAGACAAAAAGGATAGAATGATAATGTCTAATATAAATCTAATCAGAGTTCCAGAAAGAGAAAACAGAGAGAATGAAGACACATAAGTCAAAGAGATCATTGTTAATAATTTCCCAAAACTTAGGAAAGACATTAATCCACAAGTATAGGTATAGGTACAAGAAATGTAAAAAGAAATCCAGAGGAACTAAATTTACTCTCTTGCCTGAATCAACAAAAAATGGACAAAGTATGTGAAACAATTTTCAAGACACTGAAAATCAGGCAATGAAAGAAAGTGATCTCTGAGAGACTGGAATTAAATAAGATGAATCCTATGACTGACCAAGCTTACCCACTTGAGAGAATTTCCAAGCCATAGTGCAAGGAGAGGGAACCCAGGAGGATGTCAATGGAGTCCCTGAGTTAAGGAGGCAGACCTAAAAATCTAAGGAGATGAAAGCAACTAGAGTTCATAGGATAGAGTATCAGAGAGGAGAGAGCAGCACAGAGAGAGAACTCTGGAGATTCACAGAAGGTCCTCCTCAAGTATGCAGCTAAGTGCTGATCAGTGAATAAATGTGAAGATCAGAGAAAGAATTACCCAAAGAAATCAGAAGTAAGAGTGGCCAGTGCTCATACATTGCTGGAAATAATGCTTACTTCAACCAGCTGATTGGAAAAACTCAAGATTCATGAGTGTTGGGTATGGTACACAGAAAGGTCTTGCCTCAGTATTTGGAAATAATTATCCCTAGATTGAGCATTTCTGTGGTCCCACCTAAAGGTCCAGAAGGATCAAACTGTTTCCAAGTAACTTAATTGCATCCCAGAACGAACCTTTAGAAATACAAAAATATTCAGCATCCATTAAGCTAAAGTTCACAATGTTGGTCATCCAGTCAAAAATTACCAAGCATGTAAATAAGCGGGAAAACACATCCACAAAGAGAAAATCAATCAATCAAACCAACCCATAACTGGCACAGATGTTAGAATTAACAGACAAAATTGTTAAAAAGAGTTATTATAACTGTATTCCATACGTTCAAAAAGTTAAATAGAGACATGGAAGATACAAAAAAAATTGAGCTTCTATAGATGAAAACTACAATGTCTGAGATGAAAAATATACTGGATTGGATTAATGGCGGATTAGATATTTCAGGAAAAAAAATCAGTGTACTTGAAGATATAGCAATAGAAGCTATCCAAAATGCAACATAGAAAGAAAAAAAGTAGGAAAAAAAATGTTCAGAACAACAACGATCTGTGAGACAACTTAAAGTGGCCTAATATATGTATAAATGGACTCCTCTGAAAGGGCAGGGAGAGCAGAAAAATACTTGAATAAACAGTGGCCAAAAATTTCCGAAATCTGGTGAAAATGATAAACCCCAGATCCAAGAATCTCAATGAACACCAAGCACAAGAAACAAAGAAAAGTATACCAAAGCAAATATAATCAAATTGCTCAAAACCACTGATAGAGAGAAAATCTTAAAAGCAGACTGAAAAAAAGATATGTTACACAGAGGAACAAAGATAAGAATAACAGCAGGATTTCTCATTGGAAATAATGCAACTGAGAAGGCAGTGAAGCAACATCTTTAAAGTGCTGAAAGAAAAAAAAAAACTGTCTGTACCTAGTGAAAATATCTTTAGAAAATGAAGGTGAGACATACAAAAACTGAAATAATTAATCACCAGCAAACTCATACAATAAAAAATGTTAAAGTAAGTCCTTTAGAAGAAAAATGATACCATATGGAAAACTGAATCTACTACCAGGAATGGTAACTACATCGGTAAATATATAACATTTTTTCTTCTTATTTAAACTTCTTAAAAGATAAACAGCAGTTTAAATAAAAATAATAACACTATATTGTGGAGTTTGTAACACCATGTAAATAAAATGCATGACAACAATAGCATAATGGCTAGGAAGGAAGAAATGGACGTATACTACTGCAAGATTTTCATATTACATGTGAAGTGGTATAATATCACTTAAAGGCAGACTGTGATAAGTTAAAGATGTATATTATAAACTTTAAAACAACCACTAAAATAAGAAAACAAAGAATTATAGCTAGTAAAAACAATAAGGATATAAAACAGAATCATAAAAAATACTCAATCTAAAATAAGGCTGAAAAAGAGAGAAAAGAACAGATGGAACAAGTAGAAAACAAATAGCAACAGGACTGACTCAAATCTTACTCTATCAATAATCACATTATATTTACATGGTCTAAAAGCACTAATTAACAAGCAGAGATTGTTAGATAAAATTTAAAAAGCAAAACTACATTATATTCTGCCTACAAAAAACACATTTAAATATAAAGACACAAATAGGTTAGAAGTAAAAGGATGGAAAAAGATATACTGACATCTTTTATACTAACATCTTTTGACTATGAGTTATAGCTAATGATAATATGTCAATATTGATTCATTCATTGTAATAAATATATCACACTAATGCAAGATGTTAATAATAGGAGAAACTTGAGGGGAGGAGAGGGAGGAGATGTGGGAACTGTGAGTACTATCTGCTCAATTTTTCTGTAAATCTAAAACTGTTATGAAAAATTAAAGTCTGTTAATTTTTTTAACTCAAGTGAGAACTTAAAAAAATGGATATGCAAGTCAGAGATTGGGAGAAAATATTTTTTAAAAACATATATCTTAAAAAAGATTAGTTTCAACTAGATAGTAGATAAGAATTATCTTAGGGGAAGGGAAGGACAGCACACACTACAGGGGAAGTCAGCACAACTGGATTAAACCAAAAGCTAAGAAGTTTCCTGAATACAACCAAACACTTCGAGGGATAGAGTAGCAAGGGCAGGGGTCTGGGGACCATGGTTTCAGGGGACATCTAGGTCAATTTGCATAACAAACTTTATCAACTAAGTGTTCTGCATCCCACTTTGGTGAGCGGCGTCTGGGGTCTTAAAAGCTAGTGAGTAGCCTTCTAAGATGCATCAATTGGTACCAACCCACCTGGAGCAAAGGAGAATGAAGAATACCAAAGACACAAGGAAAAGTATTAGCCCAAGAGACAGAAAGGGCCACATAAACCAGACACTTCATAAGCCTGAGACCAGAAGAACTAGATGGTGCCCGGCTACAACCAATGACTGCCCTAACAGAGAACACAACAGAGAGTCCTGGATGGAGCAGGAAAAGGTGGGGTGCAGAACTCAAATTCTAGTGAAAAGACCAGACTTAATGGTCTGACTGAGACTGGAGGAATCCTGGAAAGCATGGCCCCCAGACTTTCTGTCAGCCCAGA